AAAAAAAATTTTGAAAATTTAGAAAAAATTTAAGGAAAATGGTGTAGAGGTCATGGAGGACCTAATAAAATAGTCAAAAATTGCTTTTAAAAGTATTTATCGATTAACACATTTTTAAAATTCAATGTTATGTCCAAAAAATTTCCACAAAATAATTATTCGAAATTACAATTACAAAAAATTGCTTGTCTGTTCGCAAAAAATTCTTATTTTAAAATCCCAAAATAATTTAATCTTTAAAAACCCGAATGATAGCGGAAAAACAATCTTAACACCTTAGACTAATTAAAAACTAACAAAGAAAAAATGTTTTTTTTTTAACTTTCTGGCTAATTTTTCTTAACCGAAACTAACGATTTGTATTAAATTATAATTTTAGTGTAGCCATTAAAATATTTATGCTGCCAGTTATTTGATTTTGAGTCAAGACTAAATTTCTCCTTTTACAAAACTACAAACGTATAGGTATATATTTGGTATATATTTATATATAGCAATTGGGTATATTTCTTTTGAATCAATAAAAGATGACCGTCTACACTGCGCCAAGAAATTTTCGGAACGACGCATCCTGTTGAAATGTGTTATTAGTGTATTAGTACATAAAGGTCTGTAATTATAAAATGACAGTGTTGGCGTTTAACACCACTGGTTTCCTTCTTTTCACATACGTCGTCAACGTGATTCGACCTTTTCCGGTTTATTCGTTGAACATGGCAGTCGGCAAAAATAAAGGTCTTTCCAAGGGTGGCAAGAAAGGCGGTAAAAAGAAGGTGGTAGACCCATTTTCGCGGAAGGATTGGTACGATGTTAAAGCTCCGAACATGTTTCAAACCCGTCAAATCGGTAAAACACTTGTAAACCGCACCCAGGGTCAAAGAATAGCATCGGATTATTTGAAGGGCCGCGTTTTCGAGGTGTCTTTAGCGGACTTGCAAAAAGATATTGATCCAGAACGTTCTTTTCGCAAGTTCCGTCTTATTGCTGAAGATGTTCAAGACCGAAATGTGCTCTGTAACTTTCATGGCATGGACTTGACTACAGACAAGTACAGGTTAGTAAGCGTCCATGTTGTCTACTTTATATATACAAATGTAAGTGCATATTAAAATTTCAATATTGGTTAGGTCAATGGTTAAAAAGTGGCAAACACTAATTGAAGCTATTGTTGAAGCCAAGACTGTAGATGGGTACCTCTTGCGAGTGTTTTGCATCGGATTTACTGCCAAAGATCAGCAGTCTCAGCGCAAAACATGTTATGCTCAACAATCGCAAGTTCGGAAGATTCGTGCTCGCATGACCGACATTATTACAAACGAAGTTAGTGGTGCCGATCTAAAGCAGCTTGTTAACAAACTGGCCTTGGACTCGATTGCAAAAGATATTGAAAAGAGCTGTCAGCGCATATATCCCTTACATGATGTTTACATTCGTAAAGTCAAGGTATTGAAGAAACCGCGCTTCGATGTCTCAAAGCTTCTGGAACTACATGGCGATGGTGGTGGCAAATCCGTGGAAGCCGTTGTTTCCTCCGAGGGAGCCGTAATCGACCGTCCCGAAGGTTATGAGCCCCCCGTACAGGAAGCTGTTTAATTGAATATGAAATGCGTATTTTTTTTAAATGTATTGCATTCAAACATAAAATACATTTCTCTACAAATTGCATAAATTATTTTCTTGGCTTGTTATATTTGTGGGCTTCTGGGAAGTCTTCCGTCTTTCAGGCATATGTTTGTTCCAGCCGTTTTTTCTGAATGTGGTATGTATTTAATATTTTTGTGTCAAGCCTCCACTTACCTGTACATTATATAGGTTCTGTTCCAAAACGATCGAGATATATACAAAGAATCCGAATATTCACAGGTATGTTCAACCTTTAATTTGTCAATGAGAATAAAATATGCAACACAAAAGCCAATTTTTGGATTTTTTTTGTTTATCTTCCCGATTTTGTTTTTTTGTCGCCCAGATTCCATCTTTAAATTATTCAGAGAGCTTAAAAGTACTGCTGGTACATTTATATTTTATTTTAAAAATGTTGAAAATGCAGAAAATTATTGGTGAAAAACTAACATTTTTTTTTATTATTTTTTAAAATTGTTTAAGTAGACTATTACAATATATTTCCCTTTTACTTATTTTACGGCTGGAAAGTGTGTTCCTCTTTCAGGCTACATAGTCGTCCACTTTTCACAGCTTATAATATTAGTACAAATATTTTAAGATTTAGAAATTGACAAATCGGTAATAGTTGCATATATTATTTTTGAGAAATTAACATGATGTTATTTTTCGTCTCTGTCATTTTATGATGAAAACTAAAGTGCTGAAATACCGTTTCTCAAATATCATGTTTTAAATTAAATGATTTTATTTATACAACTATGTCTATGTATTTGTCTTTGCAGGTTTGTCGATTGGTTAAATATCTAAATTATGAATGCACGACAAACACCTTGGTGGATACCATTCCCAACACTACTGAGAACAAGAGAAGGTGCGAAGACGACTACGATATACACACGAACAAATTATATTAAGCTGCGGTCTGTATAAGCTGTATATCGGTCTTAGGTCGTATGATCGTAAACGTTCCGAGGCGTACAAGCTGAAAAGGGACAACATATTTTAATTTAAAAGACGTTAAAAGAGTGTTCTTTAAGTTTTAAAATAGTCGAATATTACGACATAATTTAGTTCAGTGTACTATGGTAGACCTTATGATATCATCTCAAACTAATTCCGCCACTCCTAAGTACTTAATTTGGTATTTAAATTTTAAATAATCAAATAAGGGTCAAAGATCAGTGAATAAGACATATTCCACCACTTAAAGGACATATGTGTATTCCTGATTGGCATTACTAGTTAGTCTCTTGGCATTAAATCTATCGGGATAACTTTTTCCATAAGCCTTGCCTGCAGTATATGAGGTAATTTGCGACCCATAGCAGAGGTGACAGAAAAAACATTTTTGAAAGCAGTTCGATAGAAGTATTAAATAAATATAAATACAATCATTAATACAATTTTTTTCTTAAATGGATTGCTTTCTGAGTGAAGCAATTAGCCATGTGATAGACCTGATTTTGGTTACTCTTATGAAATTTGTGTATTATTTGGGGTATAGTTCTAAATTTTATAGTCTCTCAAATATGTTCAATATATAAGCGTTAACTCCAAATGTGACAGCCAGTATATAATAGGATTTTAAAGTTTTTTCGGCTAGACCAAAAAAAAAAAATTCTATAGTCAAGTTCCCCGATAATCAGATACCCGTTACTCAGCGAAATGCGAACGAGTAATTTCATAAATTTTTTGAAACACCGGTAGAAATTGCGAAAAAAAAATCTAAAATGTTCTTGTTTTGAGCGGTAGAGTGGGCGTGGAAAAATCGATAGAAAATGTACAAGACTAATAAAGAAAAATTAAAAAATATAACAAAATGTTCAAAAGTTTGAGCGTGGCAGTTTTTAGCGGTATTATTAATAATATTATTAACAGACTTGCGGTGCGCCTCTGGAATCTGAATGCTTAACTTTCTAGTTTTTAAAGTTCTTGAGATCTTGACGTTAATACGGGCGGACAGACGGACATGACCAGATCAACTCGGCTATTAATCCTGATGAAGAATATATATATTTAATACGCTTCTTTCTGCCTGTTACATACTTTTCAACGAATCTAGTATTCTCTTTTACTCTACGAGTAACGGGTATAAAAATTTAACAAATCTGTCAAAACCAATAGTTCAATTCCATTACTCCGTTGGAAAAATGTTTGCTGTTGAGCATTAAATGCGCATTTATTTTATTAAATATCAACTTCAAATTACGGCAAATAACAACTTCACTATACCACCGATTTATCGTTCGAAGTATCGACTATTATATTCGGACCTGATCCTTCGACGACGAATTAAAAAATGTAGTACTCGATTCCATTTTCAATCTTGCTTCCGTTATGGTTTTCCAGGTTATGGTAGTAAACAATATCAAAAGGAGTATCTTCTTCCTTCTTAAGATAATGCTAAGAAACAATTTTAAAAATCTAATGACTTTCCGACTTTTTCATAAAAATTTCTTTAAAGAATTAATTGTGAAGGCGGAATCTACCTTCAACTGCGATATCCGGCACATAACTCAATAAATTACTCAGCTGTTTTGGTAGTAGGGTGAACTTTTCGGATTTGCAAAAGATGTAGATTATAAATCAATTATTCAAAAATCATTTATGAAACTAATTGAACATCTGATGGTCGAATAATGTACATAAACTCCAAGGAATATGAAAAAAATATTAGTTTAATGTTAATTACCGCAGATTATGTTTAAGTAACATAGTTTTTCGGTTATTCGGTAAATCTTGAGAAAATCGAAATTAAAAACGGGAGGTATATGTAAATCTTCCTAAAATCGGGAAACTTATTATACAGATACATTTTAATAAAGTACATATATCAACTTTATAAATAGATTAGCTTGTGTTAGTTTAGTTCATTATCTTCCTACAATGCGCCGAAGTTGGATTTCAGAAATAAACTCTTAAAAACAAATATACAAAATAATTAAATAAATATACAACAAAAATGTTTTCATTCTATATGTTCAGTTATCTAATAGTGACTTGAAATTGGTCCACGTGGCTTGTATGGCTTTCGCTATATTATTTCGATACCTCCGGTTAACTTGCCATACAATGTGTGCAAAGAATATATATAACAAAACCATAAATAAGTTTAAATTAAATAATTAATACATGAATAAAAAATTAATGAAGTGAAATAAAAACACATTACAATCATGGAATTCGTGTCGGACTCTCACGGTGGCCATATCAGCAAAAATGTAATTGGCCTGAAGACTTTGATAAAGATTTACAAATATAGAGGTCCCCCAAACGAATAGTATATAATGATATTTTACATCGGTGAACTTGTAGTTTATTTTTAAACTTGGTCTTAACACAGTGTGAACACTTATCTTACCTTTTATTTGATATCGATAGGAAACTCAGTTTAGTGTGGAAAGGTTTTAACAACATCGGTATTGGCCGATAACAAAATGTAATTTTTAAAACATTATCATGAAATAAAAACAAGATGGAATGTTATAGTCGCGTTTTCGGAGCCTGCGAGAAATTTCATAATTTTCTGGAATATCGGTAAAAATTGTTCAAAAGTGTAGGCGTGGCACTTTTTGGCGGTTTGTGGGCGTGGCAAAACAATTTTTGGAAAATCGATAGATATTACAAGACTAATAAAAAAATTAAAAAATATTTTTGAAAAATGTGATATTTTTTTCCCTTTTTTATATACATATCTAGTAACTTTCTATAGATTTGCGAAAAAACTTTTTGCCACGCCCACTCGAACGTGCACAAACCGCCCAAAACTCTAACGCTTAGGTCTAATGTTTAAGTTTTTTTTTACCAGAAAAGTTTTAAATTTCTCGTTTGCACTTCCACTAGCTTAGTAACTGGTATCTTATAGTCGGGGAACTCGACTATAGCATATTATCTTGTTTTGATTACTCAACTTAACCCAATCGAAAGTATAATTTCCTTCTATTTAAGTAGATCGTAGACACGATCTAAATTTACATTACCAAATAATTTGTGATCATTTTGTGTTTTATGAACTGCAGTTTTTTGTTAGCCACGTTACTCAATGCGTATACACTTCCCAAATAAACTCGTTATATTCGACACAGAATTTGCCGTTCTGTTCCAAAACGATCGAGATATATACAAAGAATCCGAATATTCACAGGTATGTTCAACCTTTAATTTGTCAATGAGAATAAAATATGTAACACAAAAGCCAATTTTTGGATTTTTTTTGTTTATCTTCCCGATTTTGTTTTTTTGTCGCCCAGATTCCATCTTTAAATTATTCAGAGAGCTTAAAAGTACTGCTGGTACATTTATATTTTATTTTAAAAATGTTGAAAATGCAGAAAATTATTGGTGAAAAACTAACATTTTTTTTTATTATTTTTTAAAATTGTTTAAGTAGACTATTACAATATATTTCCCTTTTACTTATTTTACGGCTGGAAAGTGTGTTCCTCTTTCAGGCTACATAGTCGTCCACTTTTCACAGCTTATAATATTAGTACAAATATTTTAAGATTTAGAAATTGACAAATCGGTAATAGTTGCATATATTATTTTTGAGAAATTAACATGATGTTATTTTTCGTCTCTGTCATTTTATGATGAAAACTAAAGTGCTGAAATACCGTTTCTCAAATATCATGTTTTAAATTAAATGATTTTATTTATACAACTATGTCTATGTATTTGTCTTTGCAGGTTTGTCGATTGGTTAAATATCTAAATTATGAATGCACGACAAACACCTTGGTGGATACCATTCCCAACACTACTGAGAACAAGAGAAGGTGCGAAGACGACTACGATATACACACGAACAAATTATATTAAGCTGCGGTCTGTATAAGCTGTATATCGGTCTTAGGTCGTATGATCGTAAACGTTCCGAGGCGTACAAGCTGAAAAGGGACAACATATTTTAATTTAAAAGACGTTAAAAGAGTGTTCTTTAAGTTTTAAAATAGTCGAATATTACGACATAATTTAGTTCAGTGTACTATGGTAGACCTTATGATATCATCTCAAACTAATTCCGCCACTCCTAAGTACTTAATTTGGTATTTAAATTTTAAATAATCAAATAAGGGTCAAAGATCAGTGAATAAGACATATTCCACCACTTAAAGGACATATGTGTATTCCTGATTGGCATTACTAGTTAGTCTCTTGGCATTAAATCTATCGGGATAACTTTTTCCATAAGCCTTGCCTGCAGTATATGAGGTAATTTGCGACCCATAGCAGAGGTGACAGAAAAAACATTTTTGAAAGCAGTTCGATAGAAGTATTAAATAAATATAAATACAATCATTAATACAATTTTTTTCTTAAATGGATTGCTTTCTGAGTGAAGCAATTAGCCATGTGATAGACCTGATTTTGGTTACTCTTATGAAATTTGTGTATTATTTGGGGTATAGTTCTAAATTTTATAGTCTCTCAAATATGTTCAATATATAAGCGTTAACTCCAAATGTGACAGCCAGTATATAATAGGATTTTAAAGTTTTTTCGGCTAGACCAAAAAAAAAAAATTCTATAGTCAAGTTCCCCGATAATCAGATACCCGTTACTCAGCGAAATGCGAACGAGTAATTTCATAAATTTTTTGAAACACCGGTAGAAATTGCGAAAAAAAAATCTAAAATGTTCTTGTTTTGAGCGGTAGAGTGGGCGTGGAAAAATCGATAGAAAATGTACAAGACTAATAAAGAAAAATTAAAAAATATAACAAAATGTTCAAAAGTTTGAGCGTGGCAGTTTTTAGCGGTATTATTAATAATATTATTAACAGACTTGCGGTGCGCCTCTGGAATCTGAATGCTTAACTTTCTAGTTTTTAAAGTTCTTGAGATCTTGACGTTAATACGGGCGGACAGACGGACATGACCAGATCAACTCGGCTATTAATCCTGATGAAGAATATATATATTTAATACGCTTCTTTCTGCCTGTTACATACTTTTCAACGAATCTAGTATTCTCTTTTACTCTACGAGTAACGGGTATAAAAATTTAACAAATCTGTCAAAACCAATAGTTCAATTCCATTACTCCGTTGGAAAAATGTTTGCTGTTGAGCATTAAATGCGCATTTATTTTATTAAATATCAACTTCAAATTACGGCAAATAACAACTTCACTATACCACCGATTTATCGTTCGAAGTATCGACTATTATATTCGGACCTGATCCTTCGACGACGAATTAAAAAATGTAGTACTCGATTCCATTTTCAATCTTGCTTCCGTTATGGTTTTCCAGGTTATGGTAGTAAACAATATCAAAAGGAGTATCTTCTTCCTTCTTAAGATAATGCTAAGAAACAATTTTAAAAATCTAATGACTTTCCGACTTTTTCATAAAAATTTCTTTAAAGAATTAATTGTGAAGGCGGAATCTACCTTCAACTGCGATATCCGGCACATAACTCAATAAATTACTCAGCTGTTTTGGTAGTAGGGTGAACTTTTCGGATTTGCAAAAGATGTAGATTATAAATCAATTATTCAAAAATCATTTATGAAACTAATTGAACATCTGATGGTCGAATAATGTACATAAACTCCAAGGAATATGAAAAAAATATTAGTTTAATGTTAATTACCGCAGATTATGTTTAAGTAACATAGTTTTTCGGTTATTCGGTAAATCTTGAGAAAATCGAAATTAAAAACGGGAGGTATATGTAAATCTTCCTAAAATCGGGAAACTTATTATACAGATACATTTTAATAAAGTACATATATCAACTTTATAAATAGATTAGCTTGTGTTAGTTTAGTTCATTATCTTCCTACAATGCGCCGAAGTTGGATTTCAGAAATAAACTCTTAAAAACAAATATACAAAATAATTAAATAAATATACAACAAAAATGTTTTCATTCTATATGTTCAGTTATCTAATAGTGACTTGAAATTGGTCCACGTGGCTTGTATGGCTTTCGCTATATTATTTCGATACCTCCGGTTAACTTGCCATACAATGTGTGCAAAGAATATATATAACAAAACCATAAATAAGTTTAAATTAAATAATTAATACATGAATAAAAAATTAATGAAGTGAAATAAAAACACATTACAATCATGGAATTCGTGTCGGACTCTCACGGTGGCCATATCAGCAAAAATGTAATTGGCCTGAAGACTTTGATAAAGATTTACAAATATAGAGGTCCCCCAAACGAATAGTATATAATGATATTTTACATCGGTGAACTTGTAGTTTATTTTTAAACTTGGTCTTAACACAGTGTGAACACTTATCTTACCTTTTATTTGATATCGATAGGAAACTCAGTTTAGTGTGGAAAGGTTTTAACAACATCGGTATTGGCCGATAACAAAATGTAATTTTTAAAACATTATCATGAAATAAAAACAAGATGGAATGTTATAGTCGCGTTTTCGGAGCCTGCGAGAAATTTCATAATTTTCTGGAATATCGGTAAAAATTGTTCAAAAGTGTAGGCGTGGCACTTTTTGGCGGTTTGTGGGCGTGGCAAAACAATTTTTGGAAAATCGATAGATATTACAAGACTAATAAAAAAATTAAAAAATATTTTTGAAAAATGTGATATTTTTTTCCCTTTTTTATATACATATCTAGTAACTTTCTATAGATTTGCGAAAAAACTTTTTGCCACGCCCACTCGAACGTGCACAAACCGCCCAAAACTCTAACGCTTAGGTCTAATGTTTAAGTTTTTTTTTACCAGAAAAGTTTTAAATTTCTCGTTTGCACTTCCACTAGCTTAGTAACTGGTATCTTATAGTCGGGGAACTCGACTATAGCATATTATCTTGTTTTGATTACTCAACTTAACCCAATCGAAAGTATAATTTCCTTCTATTTAAGTAGATCGTAGACACGATCTAAATTTACATTACCAAATAATTTGTGATCATTTTGTGTTTTATGAACTGCAGTTTTTTGTTAGCCACGTTACTCAATGCGTATACACTTCCCAAATAAACTCGTTATATTCGACACAGAATTTGCCGTTCTGTTCCAAAACGATCGAGATATATACAAAGAATCCGAATATTCACAGGTATGTTCAACCTTTAATTTGTCAATGAGAATAAAATATGCAACACAAAAGCCAATTTTTGGATTTTTTTTGTTTATCTTCCCGATTTTGTTTTTTTGTCGCCCAGATTCCATCTTTAAATTATTCAGAGAGCTTAAAAGTACTGCTGGTACATTTATATTTTATTTTAAAAATGTTGAAAATGCAGAAAATTATTGGTGAAAAACTAACATTTTTTTTTATTATTTTTTAAAATTGTTTAAGTAGACTATTACAATATATTTCCCTTTTACTTATTTTACGGCTGGAAAGTGTGTTCCTCTTTCAGGCTACATAGTCGTCCACTTTTCACAGCTTATAATATTAGTACAAATATTTTAAGATTTAGAAATTGACAAATCGGTAATAGTTGCATATATTATTTTTGAGAAATTAACATGATGTTATTTTTCGTCTCTGTCATTTTATGATGAAAACTAAAGTGCTGAAATACCGTTTCTCAAATATCATGTTTTAAATTAAATGATTTTATTTATACAACTATGTCTATGTATTTGTCTTTGCAGGTTTGTCGATTGGTTAAATATCTAAATTATGAATGCACGACAAACACCTTGGTGGATACCATTCCCAACACTACTGAGAACAAGAGAAGGTGCGAAGACGACTACGATATACACACGAACAAATTATATTAAGCTGCGGTCTGTATAAGCTGTATATCGGTCTTAGGTCGTATGATCGTAAACGTTCCGAGGCGTACAAGCTGAAAAGGGACAACATATTTTAATTTAAAAGACGTTAAAAGAGTGTTCTTTAAGTTTTAAAATAGTCGAATATTACGACATAATTTAGTTCAGTGTACTATGGTAGACCTTATGATATCATCTCAAACTAATTCCGCCACTCCTAAGTACTTAATTTGGTATTTAAATTTTAAATAATCAAATAAGGGTCAAAGATCAGTGAATAAGACATATTCCACCACTTAAAGGACATATGTGTATTCCTGATTGGCATTACTAGTTAGTCTCTTGGCATTAAATCTATCGGGATAACTTTTTCCATAAGCCTTGCCTGCAGTATATGAGGTAATTTGCGACCCATAGCAGAGGTGACAGAAAAAACATTTTTGAAAGCAGTTCGATAGAAGTATTAAATAAATATAAATACAATCATTAATACAATTTTTTTCTTAAATGGATTGCTTTCTGAGTGAAGCAATTAGCCATGTGATAGACCTGATTTTGGTTACTCTTATGAAATTTGTGTATTATTTGGGGTATAGTTCTAAATTTTATAGTCTCTCAAATATGTTCAATATATAAGCGTTAACTCCAAATGTGACAGCCAGTATATAATAGGATTTTAAAGTTTTTTCGGCTAGACCAAAAAAAAAAAATTCTATAGTCAAGTTCCCCGATAATCAGATACCCGTTACTCAGCGAAATGCGAACGAGTAATTTCATAAATTTTTTGAAACACCGGTAGAAATTGCGAAAAAAAAATCTAAAATGTTCTTGTTTTGAGCGGTAGAGTGGGCGTGGAAAAATCGATAGAAAATGTACAAGACTAATAAAGAAAAATTAAAAAATATAACAAAATGTTCAAAAGTTTGAGCGTGACAGTTTTTAGCGGTATTATTAATAATATTATTAACAGACTTGCGGTGCGCCTCTGGAATCTGAATGCTTAACTTTCTAGTTTTTAAAGTTCTTGAGATCTTGACGTTAATACGGGCGGA